CTATACAAAACATAATTCTGAAAAGTCAAGGCATCAGACAATGAAAGAACTGTACAGTGATGAGTCCAACCAGGAAGTTTTTTATGAATTTTGTAKGCCCTGTTGTAGAGCCTAACTATGGGTTCTAAGATTTCATTTGTTGTAAGAGACCCTGGAGACACTGCTGGAAGGAGACGCCCAGGATGTCATGGAGCAGTTTTTTTTTTTTTTTCATTTCCATTCAACTGTAAACAACGCTTTTTTTTTTTTTTGCATTGATGTCAGCATTTTGTATACTGGGAAAAAGATTCACTTTAACTATAACGCCATCATTTCGCAACATAAGATGATTTTTCTGGCATGAAAGGTGGTGGGAGATGTGCTTCCCTTCAAGGAGTGCTAGACCTCTAATTTTAAATGACATTTTTAATAAAGCAATTTATCTTCTGCATGAAGTTTTGAACCTATGGAGGGTGTATGGAAATTAATTTGACAATAAAAATGACTCGCCCAATTAAAATCAATCAGGCTCTGCACTATAAAAATAGGGTGTTTTCGAATCTAAAAGATTTTGTCAACCAAGCCCAGATCGACTAAATTTTGTGAGAAAAATTGCTTCTTTTTGGAAGAAAGCCAAAACAAACATGATGTTTATTCAACGGCTGTTGAGTGCTGAAGGTTCGTCAGAAACGCCTGGAGATTTGTGAGTTTTTTTGTACAAAAAGTGCCTGAAAATGGAGTTTTAGACAAAAATTCAACTCTGGAAGACTAATTGACCTCATTGACGTCACAAGCACAGCTTCATCCAATCAGCATCTGACAGTCAGTGGATAAAAGCGTCCTCTGAAATCACTCCGGCTGCTTGCCAGCCGAATGTCAAACTTCCACCTCCCCTCCTCCAACCTTCATCTTCTGGCTTCCAAGGACTTCTATCACCTTTGACCTCCACCACCAGTGTCAGGCCCCCGGTGGGGAAGAAAATACTCCTAACCCTCATCTCAAGCAGCTCATCAGAGCTTAAAATCATCCCACAGCACTCACGTCCTCTGCCGGGGTCTGAGCGCCAAACTCTGTCATTCATGTCAATAAACTTCCTAATTTCAGTCTGTCTTTGTGTGAGTCTTTCCATGTTGAAATTATTTTTAAATCCCTTCACAGTTTAGCACAAGAAGAAACGCTGAGTGAATCCTTACTTAATTACAAATCTTTTACTGAGGAGCATTTGGATGGATTGCACTTTGCTTAGTTAAGTTGAACAATTGATTTAGCAAAGAGATTCAAGCTCTAAAAACAATCAGTATTTTTTTTATTATTGAGCTTTCTTTCAATCTTTGCAAAGCATCTTACTAGAAAAGGCTTAAGAGATAAAATAAATACACATAAAACTCCTAATGGGTTTTGTGTAATTTAAAATGACATTTCATCAGCGGTGGTGTTTATTCACTAAATCTTCAAAGCTTTTTTATTTCTCTGCAGCAGAAAGCTGGTCTCTCACATCTACAGGAAGGAATACCTTTAAAAGGAAACGAATTATGCTAAACCTGCATGAAAGATGCCAAAATATTCTGGTGAGGCCCGTTTTAGCYACATAAAAGGTTGGAAAACAGAGAGGAATGATGTGCAAAAGCGCACTCTTATCTCACCATTACTCACTTTGCCTAATTAGGGACGCTTAAGGGGAGCRTTCAAGTCACCAAAGCTACAAATGGGTTCCCAGGTGCCCCCAGGGGGAAACAGAGTGTGGAGCAACACCGGAATGAAAACCAACACATGACAGCCGCTTTCGCGATGATGCATTCACCAGAAGCAGCTACAGGAGGTTTTCCCCGACTTCAAAAGGAGAGAGGCGAAGCCAGCTCACTTTTGAGAACACGTGTGAGTTTCATTCGCACACGATGTTCAGACTGATGCTGACGGCTCCTGCTAGGCTGAAGCCTCTTCTCTCAGCTCCACAAAGCCAGAGCTTTGGATGTCGGTGTGTAGGAACGAGATATGATGTCTGCGGGTGCAGAGACGGACTGTCATCCAAACGGTCTGATCCCAGCTTCATTTTACACCAAACTGACTGTTTGGTCATTTTTATATGAGCACGAGAAGTGCGGAAAGTGGTTAAACTAATTATCTGCAGACGAGATGAAAGGAAAGTTAAACAAATTCCAATATTCAGAGATAATTAGCTTTCTATTTCCTATTTAGGCGCAGGTGTGGCACTGATAATTCAAGTTGCACAGCTGCATATTTATACTGATAATCATCTGAGGAATCAGGAGGTTTTAAACTCTGATTTATTTCTTGAGGGGTGCTGGAAATGTGCTTGAGAGGGGAAAACGTAAAGAAACGTGATGCACTGTGAGGGGTAAAGTCAGYGTGAAGACAGATACAGTCACTGAAAATCTGGTCAAAGTTGATGCCATGAACAGGATGCTCCTCAGGGAGCGAGTGGGAAAGAACAACAAATGTGACAGTTTTTTTTTTTTTTTTGGGGGGGGGGGGCTTGGCTCAACTTGAAACACACACACACAGAGAGAGAGAGAGAGAGAGAGAGAGAGAGAGAGAGA